AAATAAATACAAAAGGTATTAGACTGTAAAATTACCTCTCGAAAATATCCTGCCATTATAGCATTATACATGCCAGCTACAGGTTTAACATTCATTTTCCTTGAATCACTCAGCATCGCATATGCACCACCAAACTGCATTTAATGGATGAGAAGAAATACAAGCTCTATTTAACTTAAACTTGGAATAAAATTAGTTTGATAAAATACACCCCCCATCAAAATGAAATTAGGAATTATGAGAAGCAAAAAGAATTAACTAGCAACATGCACAAGCACTGGGAACTACAAAACAGGAGAGCTGGATAGCAGCTTACATCTTCATTTTCACACTCAAACTTATCATCCTTCTGAATGTCTCAGCATTTGGCTTAAGGTTATGGCAACAGATCACTGAATAAATTCGCCGAACCTTAAGATCAACAAAATGACAAGAAAGGTAATAAGAAACTCAGATAGTGGTCAACAGTCAAGAACAATATAAAATTCTCAATGAGAGTAATGACAAAGCAGTATAAGGGTAAAACAACTTTGTAGAACTAGAGAATTGAAGTGCGATACCAAATTACACTCATGGTTCTCTTCAAGAGCATGCAATATGCAATTTAGCATGTCTATGGACAAGCTCAAACCGTCTTGAGAAATCTGGTTAACAATATCAAGAGCCAGTTGCACCTACATTATGATAAATAAACATTAATCAATTTCAAAGCATTTGTTAAAAGATAAAAGGACAGAAGTTGGATAAGAAAAGACCTTTAAAAGGAGCTAATGATACTATTTCAAATGTTTTTCATTCCCTTTACTCATAGTCTTACCTTACGTGAACTACAGCAAAACTTAATGAGCTCCTTGTATGATTCTAATGATGGTGTTATCTCAAATTTCATGTGCAAGCTTTCAAATTTCAGAACAACATCTTCAACCTTCAATAAACATATGTAAGAAATACTTTTGCAAGAGGCAGTTAACAAATTTAGCTTTTATGCAAAAATGCTCAAAAAGAGAAAAAAATGAGAGACAAAATCACTCTCTTGCAGTCTAAAGCAATTATCATTTTAAGCCAGATCTAAATCTCTTACAAGTAGTTGTGGACCAATGTATTATAGCACTTGCAAGACATTCATCATAATTACATGGGGCCAGTGCCTCATCAATGTCAAAATTTCATATCTTTCAAGTCATATATACAAGGAAATAGCACTTTAGAGGATAATAACTAAAATCTATCACATGTGCTTCAAATTGGTCATTCACGCTGAAACTATATATGCAATTAAACAACAATCATAAATTCCTCACCAGTCACCACCAAGACCTTTTTGAGAAGTACCAAGAAAAACTCACTGACAACGATCTATAACTTTGACTCCAAGACCACAAAAGGCCTTTAGATGATTGCATAAACAAAGAATTTCTTTTGTACCCACTCCCCTCCCATCACAGCCACCCATAAAAAGAAAAGAAAAAAAAAATGGAAAGAAGAAGAACAACAACAAAAAGTAATAATAATAAAGAAAAACAAAATTTATTCCCCAAATGCAATTAACATCTTCCAAAAATTTCTGCTGATCACTAATTGTCACTCAAGTGAACTAGCATCACTGTTAAGTGTTAATTCTACTCAAAAAATCAAAGCAAACTAAATAATGGTTTAATTGCCAATTTCTTGCTAACCAAAATGGACAACTTCCTAAAATTTATAGAAAACAAGTCAAAAACATTATCAAGATACTGAAAACTACATGTTGGAGTATAGTTGCTCTACGAAAACATGGACTCAAGTGCAAAACTTTACTTTCTTATATATTTTTTTATCCACGTGGAATGTATTGATAAAAGAAAACTTAAATAAAATTGTATTTTTTCTTGAGATATAGAATAACTATAAAACATAATAAATAATATAATAAATTAAAATTGTTTATTCTTATAAATTGTTGTTTCATTTTGAAAAAAATCTAGTTTCATAAATTCTTTCATCAACAAAAAGAATACTAATTTTTGAAAAAAGCACAAAGATTCTTTAACCATTATTGACATATATATATATATTCAACTCACCTAGTTATAATTGATTCTCAATACATTTAATATTCATTCAATAACTGACACCATAATAATTCAATTTTTATAAGTTCAAAAGGACTAGAGCTTTTAACTTAACATGAATTGTACCCTCATTAAACTAATCACTGATAAAATACTTATTCAAGTCAAATATATTCTCCCTATCCATATTTCAAGAAAGAATTGCTTCTCTTAGCGTTATCTAACATGTGAACCATGAGTATAGTGCTTTGAATGCTGCATGCAGATGTTATTAGCAATTTTCTTCTCCCCGTATTCTTGTTTCATTGAAGATTGCTTCTATGTTTTTCTAACTGATTTTGGTATGTTAAATTATTTTACAGTTTGTTAAAAGTTTTTTTTTTTTCCCCTCTAAGCTTTCATGTTAAAGGTTAGTCATGCTTATAAGTCTAGTTAGCTTAATCATGCTCCATTCTTCTTTTTGTGTTTGAACAGGTAAGGATTTCTGCCCTCCAATATATCCACTAGGTGAGCAGAAGTGGCAACTAATTATGGGTGTTCCTTTAATATGCATTCACTCTCTTCAAGTCAAGCCTTCTCCATTCCCACCTTCCTTTGCATCACAAACAGTGATTGAATGCCAGCCACTTATGGTATGCTGTTTTGGTGAATGCTTACCTGTTTCTCAAATTGTGCTACTTTTTTATTCTTATTCTCATTCTCCATTCCTTGTTCAGATTCATCTTCAGGAACAATCTTGTTTAAGGATATCCTCTTTCTTAGCTGATGGAATAGTTGTAAATCCTGGTGCCGTTTTACCTGATTCTTCAGTTAATTCCCTTGTATTTACTCTCAAGGACTTGGACATCAGTGTTCCTCTGGACACAACTACACTGGATAATCCTAGTAGCAAAAGGAACCTTAATGTTGAAAAGTCCTTTGCTGGAGCTAGACTTCATATTGAAAATTTTTTTTTCTCTGAGTCACCTTCACTAAAACTCAAGCTACTGAACCTGGAGAAAGATCCTGCTTGCTTCTGTCCCTGGGAGAGTCAACCAATTGATGCTAGCCAGAAGAAATGGACAGCTGGAGCATCACAACTTAGTTTGTATTTGCAAACATCTGCTAGCTTGACTGGACTTCAGAGTTATGCTGGCTGTACTCCAGGCTTGTGGAGGTGTGTTGAGGTTAAAGATGCTTCTGTTGAGGTAGCTATGGTATCAGCTGATGGGAATCCATTAAGAGTTGTTCCTCCTCCTGGTGGTGTTGTCAGAGTAGGGGTTGCTTGTCACCAATATTTATCCAATACTTCTGTTGAGCAGTTATTTTTTGTCTTGGATCTCTATACATACTTTGGTAAGGTTAGTGAAAAGATTGCCATAGTTGGAAAGAGTAAAAGACCTAAGATGGATAAAAATGACTCTCTCCGTCAGAGTTTGATGGAGAAGGTTCCTAGTGATACTGCTGTAAGTTTAACAGTAAATGATCTCCAGCTTAGATTTCTGGAATCATCCTCCTCCTTCAATATCCATGAAATGCCTCTGGTTCAGTTTATTGGGAGAGATCTGTTCATTAAAGTTACTCATAGAACTCTTGGTGGGGCTATTGCTGTTTCATCCACTTTGTTTTGGGAGTGGATTGAGGTGGACTGTCTAGACAATGGGGGAAACCTGGTAAATGAGAATCAAACAATGTTAGATTCAGTTGAAAATGGTTCTCTTGTCACTTTGAATGGATATCCTCCTCTTAGACCTGTGTTTTGGGTTGATAACAAAAAGAAGCATCAATCAAATGGAAAAGCTTTTGTGATTCCTTTTCTTGACATAAGCATTGTACATGTCATTCCCTTCAATGAACAGGACAAAGAGTGTCATAGTTTAATGGTGTCAGCTAGTATTTCAGGTGTTCGCTTAGGTGGAGGAATGAATTATACTGAGGCTTTGCTGCATCGATTTGGAATACTTGGGCCTGATGGTGGTCCTGGTGAGGGACTCTCCAAAGGGTTGGAAAATCTATCAGCTGGGCCACTGGCTAAACTTTTGAAGCCATCTGCTCTCATCAATGATTTAGCAAAGAGTATAAAGCTAGCACCAATATGAAATTTTCCTTAACTGGTTGCTCTTCTATATGTTCATACAGTTAAGCTATTCTTTTCATTTTTACTATTTAACTTAAACTTCACCTGTCTTCCGTTTACATCCAGGTGGAAATTTGGAGGGTGAGAAAGATAGTGGTTTCTTGCACCTAGGGATGCCAGATGATGTTGATGTGTCAATAGAGTTAAAGGACTGGTTATTTGCTCTTGAAGGTGTGCAAGAAACGGCTGACAGATGGTGGTTTGACAATCAAGAAGACTTAACTAGAGAGCAGAGATGTTGGCACATGACATTCCAGACCTTGCGAGTAAAAGCAACAAGCAGTCCAAAGCATATATTGAAGGGTAAAGGGAAATCAGATGAAGTGCAGATATATCCTGTTGAATTGGTCACAGTAAGATTTTTTTTCTCCTTTGTAGTATTTTGAACAGAATTTTCAAGTCTAGGTTAGAAAAGCCTAGCCTTGGCTGCTTTTAAATCTTTCATTGAATTTAATTAAGATTATTAGAAGGATATATAATGGCCTTGGTGGGCATCTAGAGCTGTTATTAGGTTCATGGCTAATTGGCTGGTGCTGTATCCCTTCTGAACTTTTTATTTAGATCAGCTGTATTTGATGTCAGCATAAGAAAGAGTTGCCTTTTACCTAGCAGTTCAAGTCTTTTTATGTGAATTAACTGGTTTATGTGGCTGGCTTGTTTTCTTTTGATTCTAACGTGAAATGCTTATAGGTTGGTGTGGAAGGATTGCAGACCCTGAAGCCTCAGGTCCATAAAGGCCTTCTTAAAGCTGTCCATTCTGAAAATGGATTCAAAGAAGGTTTTGAGACATCTAGTGGAGTAAATCTTGAAGTTCGTCTGGTGATATCAGAA